CCGTGTGCCTCTGGTCTTATCTCTGAAAAACATAAAGCAACACAATGGAACAGCTTCAATGCTCCTTGTTACAAATTATACAAAAGCCAGAGAGCCTAACGGTGCCAAAAGCAACTGGTATTGTTTACATAAGGGCTGAAAGCTAATAGTTAACTTTCTCCCATTCCAGAAAGAGTAAATAACGCCTCACTTTACAACTATAAACGAGTAAAATGTCATAAAATGGAGAAGAAAACAAATCAAAAGGAAAACGGAAATGTTGGTTCCAATGTTCCCTCTCTCTCCCGCTTTCGGTCGCGCTCTCGTTGGGTCCCAGCTGCACGGCCTGGGTCCCTATTGGGGCCCGCGAAGCACCCGTCGGCAGCGCCTGGGGCTTTCTGGCTTCCTTTCCCGCCCTAGGGCAAGCTCGACCTCTTCTGGAGAAGCCTGTCCCAGTGCCAGGCCTGGAAAAACAACAGACAGAAACTTTGGTTCGGTTGTCGGTTCAGTGAAAAATGGTGAACACTCAAGTTTGGTTCGGGGTTGCCGCCTACGGTTCCGATTTTGGGGTGGGGGTGGGAGTGGGTCACAACTCGGTCAGGTTCAAGTGCGCATGTGCACGAGGAGTCACTCAGGCATTTATTGAGCGCCCACTGTCTACGAGCGGCCGGTGCTGTGCATCCGGGCGCGGGACGGGGGCGGGGGGTGTGTCTCCGAGCCTCGTTCGTTCACTCGCTGGCTGGCGCGCTCCTCCGCTCCCTTCCCGGGAGGGAATCCGGGCCGGGTTGTGGCCGCGGCCGCGTACGTGAGCGCAGTGTCCCGGAGAGGGAGGGCAGGCCGGCCAGGTGGGCGCGAACGGAGCCTCGGCGGGCGGGCGGTCTGAGCGGAGCCGGGTGGTGGGCCGCACCGGGTGGGCGGGTAGGAGCGGCGGCAGCTGCAGCTCCGAGTCGAGCTGTCCGAGCGGGAGCTGCCCGGCCCGCGCCACTGCTGCTGGCGGGGCGAGGTGAGCTGCGCGGGGATCTCGCGGCGCTGCAGCCGGGGGACTGGGGCGGCCCGGGAACTTCCCACGCTCCGTACGGGGGCCGGGCCGGCGGCCTGAGGGCTGGGGAGGCCGGTGCGCCAGGGCAGCGGCGGGTCGGGGCGCAGGGGCGCTGCGGCAGTGCCCGCGCTGGCTGGGTGGGGGTGGCCGCCCGCTCTCCCGTGCGCCGCCTTGTTTATCTCGCCCTCCGCCGGCGCTCGCCAAGGCGCCCCCTCCCCAACTTTGAGTGGTTGTCCGGAGTTGCCTCTCCAACGGAGATTGACCTGCCCCCTCCCTGACCCTTTCCGGCTGGGCCGCTAGTCCAGCCCTACCGGCGCCCCGCGCGTTCCTGCCCACTCCAACGAGCGGGCGGGCGGGCGAGTGCCGGCCTCTGGGACGCGCGGCACGACACACCCTCCACCTCGGGGGCTGGCCCCCACCTTTTCTGTCCTCTTCTGTCCACCCCCACTTCCTTCCGCGCCGTTTAACCCTGCCTTTCCTCACCGGTGGCCCCTGGCCCTCCTTTGAGCTGGCACTTTGGACATGTGGGGTGCCCGGTGGGGCTTGGATAGGGAGTTTGTCATGTGCAAACAATTTCAAAGGCAGCATTTTCTTCCCTGCCTTGGAGTTCAGGGCGCAGTGCCTTCTGAGTTTAGGATTGACTCAGAAATCTAAAGAAGCCCACCTGCCAGGTGGTATGGGGGTGCTCCTGCCTCCGTGATTTTAGGCAGCCCTGGCCAATTCTTGGTGGCTTTGGAGCATTTCCACCAGGCAGGCATTCTCATGGTGCCAGGTGCAGGGGTTACCTACAGGCCACCACTGCGTTCTTCACACCCTCTTTCCAGAAAAGTGTATGTGGTGTAGTTTGCTTGAAAGTGAGTGATCAACAGGTATTGAAGCCTTTTTTGACACCCTCCTAAGGTGTTGTGTAAACAGTGGTTCTGGTCTCAAGAAACTTGAAACACAAGGAAACACAGCAATTAACTTCAACTCCACAGGTACTTTTGAGGGGCTGCTGTGTTCTTAGCACCATGCCAGGCTTTCTGGGAGATAAGAGGAACACAAGAAATCTAAGGCCTTAGAAAGCCTACCTATCAAGTGGAAGTGATTTGAGAGCTCAAATTCAAATTAATGTGCTATGGCTGCCTAAATTATTGTAAATTATGGGGGGGTGGGGGCAAGGGGAATATCAAAGGAAAGGTTAGAACTGGGGAATGAACTTAGAGTACTAAGTTCTGAAATAAGTTATGCACTGGAGAATAACTCACTGGAGAGGGCCCAAAAGCAGGAGAGGAAGAAGCAACAGGTGCAAGAGGTGGCAGAGGAACTAGCAGAGAAGAGGTTCCAATAGTGATCTCAGTGAGGGAAGATACAAAAGATACATAAGATGATACCCTCCAGGGTTTATAATCTCATGGTGGACACAGAAAGACTTGAGCATGTGAAATAAAACTCAAGATAGGGGCACAACTAACTGTTAAAATGCAAGGTGTAGAATAAGTGTTCTTGGAGTTCAGAGAATGGAGTTATGGGCAGGAATCTCCAGGACTGTATTCCTGAAGGGTGAGACCCTTGAGATGGGCCTTGTGCAAATGAACTTGGCTTTTCCAAGAGATGAGATGGCCTTGGCCAGACCAGGGACTGTTTCCTGAACAGTAGTAGATAAAGATGGAGAGGAGCAGTGGTTGAGATTGTGAAAGTCCTAGAAAGCCAGACTGGGGAATTGCACTTTACCCCATGTGTGCTGGGGAGACATGAAAGGGTTTTGAGCCAGGGAGTGACATAATGAAAGGGTATTTGGAAAGATTTTAAAAAGTAATATTGGGAGACAAATCAGTTAGTTAGGCTGTTACAGTTTTGGAGTGCCCAGAGTTTGGACTGGGATAACTGGAAATGGAAAAGGGGTTGGGTTTTAGAAACATTACTGTTGAAATAATCTGTTGACAGACAGGGCGAAGGGAAGAGATGAATGGAAATTAATTCCTTGTGGAAATTGATTGCATGCCAGGGCCTTGGAGCTGCTGTAGTTGGTAACTCGAGAAATTGGAAATGTGTGTTTTGGAGAGAAGTAATTGACACTCAGGCTGCAGAGAAATTTTGTGTTTGCCATAGGTGTCCTGCAAGCCACTGCGACTCTGAGATTGTGGGGGAAACCAGGGTGTGTAGTGTGGGAAAGGCTTCCAAAACTGGGAGAAGGAAGGCACTCGGGGCTAAAGGGTGTGTCATAGGGAAGCAGTAGAGGATGCTAGTGAGTGGGACTGAGGATCCGAATTAGAAGGCTCTGTCCTGTATTGCCATTCAAATGTATCACATGAACTTGAACCTGAAGTTGGCAAAACTGTTCTGGGAAATTAAGGCTCCAAGGAGAATGGGCCACTTATTCTCTTAACCATGAGGGTGGTTGGAGGGAAGTAGAATGGAATTTGCTAAATACATAAATTGTTAGGTTTTGAAACAAGCTGAATTTTGCTCTCCACTGAGTCCTTTAGGCTAGTCCTGGTGTCCCATTCATGGGTGGGGGTGGGGAGCAGCTAGGTGATCTAAAGGATCAAGGAGGAAATTTGGGGCCTAGGGATATTGCCTCTCCCAGGGCGAGGTCTGTCCCAACCTGCACCACTGCCAGTTCCCAGGGATCCAGTGACCTGCCTGCAGAGGTTTTTCCTGAGCTCTGAATTCTGCTTTCTTGTTGCAAGGGTGACTTAGGGTGATATGCTGAACAAATTCCCCAAGCCTCAACTTGCAACATCTGAGGGCTGGTGAATTTGAAGGATGATTGCAAAAAGTTAAAAAGTTGCAGAAGCAGTGGAGAATTTAATTGCAGTTTCTTAGCTCTCTGCAAGCCTTCCCCCACCCCTTTCCCTGAGATGCAGGATCTATGAAAAAGCAGGGGAAGCTGAACTGCATGGGGGAAAGGTGTCTAGCAGACATTTTTTCTTTATAGGGAATATACGATGGTCAAAAACATATTGCATGGAATAGTGGTTGAGCTAATGTACTCTCTATAGAGCAGTGTTTTCTGCACTGCTTTGACCGTGACCTACATTAAGAAATAAAATTTACATCACAGCCTGGTATACTCAGTCACGTATGTAAACATCTAATTCAAGTTCATGAAGTACAACCTTCCTTGGGTTGGTGCAATCTCCCCTGATACTTTTATTTTCTATTCTGTTTTTTATTTAAAAATATTTATTGTTTCCCACTAAATTGATTTAACCTCTGTGTAATGGATTATAACCCACAGTTTGAAAAACACAGTTATATAGAGAACTTTTACTTCTAATAAGCATTAAGCTGCTCATATGCAGAGCTACTAGTGCTGTAGGTGGAAGGGAGCGTGAGGAAGAGTTTGAATTTTTAGGCTAGTTGGAGTGTTCAGATGTATAGCTATGATCAAGGAGAAAGGCAAGATGACCAAATGCCAAAATGAAACATAAATACCTGTGCAGTTCAGAGGAAGGGGTGGACCACCTGTGCTGGAGTGGCATGGAAAAAGTGTTTGGAATAAAGAAGGAAGTCTGGGGTAAACCTGTTGGGGTGTCTCATGGTTCTGCGCAGGTGGGAGGTGTAGCCTGGGCAAGGCTTGGTGTTGGGAATGTACATGGTATGTGTAAGAGTGAAGAACAGAGGGTTCCTGTAAGAGAGTAGGGAGAAATCAGGTTGGCAAGGTGGGCTAGGATCAAAATGTAGTGGAGGGGTTGTAAACGGGTGGCCCAGAGATAGTGTTCAGCCTTTAGGTTATAATTTGAACCGCCAAAAGGTTTTCAAGAATTGGGAAAACCTCTGGATTTAGGACGGTCTTAAAGAATCAGAACAGGCAGGCCTCTCCAGCTGAGTGAGTGGTGGTTGCCCCCTGTGCATAGGAGACAGGCCTTTTGGGCCGTCGTTCCCCTCCTCCCCCCATTATAGTCCCAGGGCTCTTGTTGCCTCAGTCCAATTGCTTTACATTCCATCCTTAGTCTTGCAGGTCTTTGGGTTTGCAGCCTGAGCTTTCAAGAGACTTGAATGCCAAGCTAGGGAATTTGGGATCGCTGGCCTGGGCCCTGGGTGGCCATCAGGGGATCCAGGTAGGAAGAGGCTGACATTTTGAAATTTGAGATATTGGTGTGCAAATGATTTGTTTTAGGCAAGTCAGCAGCGCTTTCTGAGTTGCTGCTGGCTGGGACTTTGCAATATTGTTCTGAAGATTGGAATGGTAGTAATTAGGGAGGGCTTTGAGCTGTGTTTTCTATAGTGAGACAGATTTCTAGTGACGCCAAGATCTCTTGAACCTTCCCATTTTCCACTTCTGGCCGCCATGGTTAGATCGTGGCTCCAGGCATGTATCCTTTGAGAACCATGTCGGGGTAATAACTTGGGGAGATGTGAGTCACAGCTGCCAAATGCCGTATGACATTAGATTCTCAGGAGCTTTGGTTCTGTGAGTCAATAACCAAGGAACAGCAAAGAGAGGAGCTCTGTCATTTCTCTTCTTACATCCTTACTCCTAGGATGGCCCCCGGGGGTAGGCCTCCAGTCCAGAGATTCACAATGAATATGGAAGAAGTGGTTCAAGCTCAGGTGTTAATGCAAATAACTCCTGGAAAACTAGGCTGCTTTGGGGGCCACCTGAAGTGAACAAGTTCAGGTCTCTGTGGTCCTGAGACAGTTTGGTTTACCCTAGGCATCCATAACCACCTGTTAGGCTTCCCCAGGTGAGCTATAGCTGAGAGGGACTGAGCAAATCACCGTTTTTCACAGGTTGCACAATCTGATTATTTTAAACTATTGCTTTTGTAACATTAAAAATAAAAGTTAAAACTGAAGTGCTTTTTGCTTAAAAATGTGTGGCCTGAGGATGCAGGGATAACCAGAAGGCTGCCGAATTGGATGAAATGAAACCCATTTCCTGTTTCATAGGATGGTTTGGTTGGTTACTAGATTGGAGAAATGATGTAGCAGCTATGTATGGTACACTTTGGCTTTATGGGAAAATATTTCACATAAGATATGATGGTCTGTGTTAAGTTAAGTGGTAGAATATGGGCTGGATGGTGTTATTAATTTAATTTCATGGTGTTATTAATAGGCAAAAACTGTTAATTAGTAGCACTGAATCAGCCTGGAAGGGGGTCTGAAAATGAGTGCCGTAGGGTTCTATTCTTGGCTTTGAGCTGTTCAATGTTTTTTTTCCAGTGTTGTGGATGAAGATACAGAAGGTATGTTTGTCAGCTTTGTTGGTGGCTCAGAGGTGGGAGGGATTGCTTAGTTAGTAGATAAATCAAGGTTCAGAATCATCCAGAATGAGTGCCCAAATTAAACAAAAGATTCAGTAAGGGATAAATTTAAAGTTTGATTTGGTTTTTAAAATTTGAATTGTAATGTATTGAGATATTTATACATTCTGGTCAGGTAACTCCACCTTTGGAGATATACCTGAGACCATAATATCAAGATACAGATGATGTTTTATGCACAGAGATTATTCAGAGTTAAAAAAAAACCACAAAAAACCAGAGTGAAAAATTGGAAACAACCCAAATATCCAGTGGTGTGAGTGGGCTGGAAATAATCCATAAGTGATTCTGATGGATGTTTCTTTATAATGGAATATTATGGTCATTAACAATAATGTTTAGGAATAGTTTTAAAATAACATGGGCAAATGTTTCCACTATAAAAGTTTAGGTGTATCTACAATATAACTTCAAATCTTCAAAAAACAAAATACATAGAAAATGACCAGAGGAAATATACTAATAATTCTAATATCAGAATACTAATATTGGTTGCTTTTAGATGGATTGAATGGAGTGACTTTCTTTTTTTTTTTTACATTTTAAATTTATTATTAGTATTTTCTGTAATGTGTATGTATATCATGGTGGGGAAAACACTATTTAATGCATTTTTAAAATAGGCTTTATTTTTTTAGAGCGTTTTTAGGCTCACAGCAAAATTAAGAGGAAGGTTCAGAGTTTTCCCATCGACCCCTGCCCCCACATATGCACAGCCTCCCCCAGTGATCCCCACCAGAGTGGTGCATTTGTTACAACTAACGAACCCACGTTGACGCGTCATTATCACACAGAGTCCATAGTTTGCATTAGGGTCACTCTTCGTGTTGTCGTTCAATGAGTTTAGACAAATGCATAATGACATATATCTATCACTATTACATCATATAGAGTACTAGCACTGCCCTAAAAATCCTCTGTGCTCCGCCTGTTTACCCCTTCCTCCCCACAACCCCTGGCCACCACTGATCTTTTTTACTGTCTCCACAGTTTTGCTGTTTCCACAGTGTTATACAGCTGGAATCATACAGTAAGTAGCCTTTTCAGATTGGTTTTTTCACTCGGTAATACACATTTAAGGTTCTCCCATGGCTTTGCATGGCTTGATAGTTTATTTCTTTTTAGTGCTGAATAATATTCTATTGTCTGGATGCACCACAGTTTATTTATCCATTTACCCACTGAAGGACATCTTGGTTACTTCCAAGTTTTGGCAGTTATTATGAATAAAGGTGCTGTAAACATCTGTATGCAGGTTTTTGTTTGGACATAAGTTTTCACCTCCTTTGGTTAAATACTAGGGAGTGCTGTTGCTGGTAAGGATATGTTTAGTTTTGTAAGAAACTGCTTAATATGTCTTCCAAAGTGGCTGCACCATTCTGCATTCCCACCAGCAATGAAGGGGAGTTCCTGTTGCTCCACGTCCTCACCAGCATTTGGTGTTGTCAGTGCTCTGAATTTTGGCCATTCTAATAGGTGTGCAGTAGTATCTCATTGTTTTAGTTTGCATTTCACTAATGACATGTGATAATATATTTTTATGTGCTCTTTTTTTTTTTTACCATCTGTATGCTGTCTTTGATGAAGTGTCTGTTACGGTCTTTGTCCCATTTTAAAAATCAGGTGTTTTCTTATTGTTGAGCTTTGTTCTTTTTAAGATTTTTATTGGGGAATTGGGGGGATGGGAACAGTGCTGGGGAATTGGGGGAAGGGGAACAGACAAGTTGCTGTCCTTTTGTTCTTCAGTCTAGTTGTGGAGGACGTTGCTTCACTGGCCCAAGTTGGCACCATCATTGAGCTCTTCCCGGGTGAGGCAGATCAGTCGCCGGCTTCTGGATAGCCGCTCACGGTGGCTGCTGGCTGCTCACGCTGGCTGCTGGCTACACACGGTAGCCCATGGCAACCCACTGCCACAGGGGCTGCAGCCTACGCCGTCGCTGGTGACTCACAGCAGCCCAGCTCCAGGTTGAGCTGTTGTTCAGCATCTTAGCTGTAGAGTGCAGTGTGTCTGGCCCTCATATGTGGGATCCGAACCGGGGCCCTCTGGCATCCCAAGCCAGCTCTTAAGCATCGCACCACTCGGCCGGCCCTTATTGTTGAGTTTTAAGAGTTCTTTGTATATGAGGTATGATCACAAAATATGGTGTATGTTTAAATAAAAAAAAATTTAGGGCCGGCCGAGTGGTGCATTGGTTAAGAGCTGGCTTGGGACGCCAGAGGGCCCTGGTTCGGATCCCACATATGAGGGACAGTGACACTGCCCTCTACAGCTAAGATGGTGAAGAGCAGCTCAGCCTGGAGGTGGGCTGCTATGGGTTGCCAGCAATGGCGTAGGCTGCAGTCCCCTGCTGCAGTGGGCTGCCATAAGCTACCATGTGTAGCCGGCAGCCAGCGTGAGCGGCCAGCAGCCGCTGTGAGCGGCCGTCCAGAGGCCAGTGACTGATCTGCCTCCCCCAGGAAGAGCGCAATGATGGTGCCAGGTTGGGCCAGTGAAGCAACGTCCTCCACAACTAGACTGAAGAACAAAAGGACAGCAACTTGTCTGTTCCCCTTCCCCTAATTCCCCAGTGCTGTTCCCATCCCCCAATTCCCCAATAAAAATCTTAAAAAAAAATTATTACAGTAAAAGACATACGGCCATTAATTCCCCTCAAAATACTCCTCGCTTTGAACACACTATCCCATCGTTCCTGCCACTTTCTGAAGTAGTTCTGGAAGTCCTCTTTCATGAGTGTCTTCAGTTGTGCAGTTGTGGCTGCCTCGATGTCCTGAATGGATTCAAAACTGTTACCTTTCATGGTTATTTTGACTTTGGGGAAGAGCCAGAACTTACAATGTGCCAGATCTGGTAAATAAGGTGAGTAAAGACACACCGTAATTTTTTGTTTGACAGAAATTGCCATACCAGAAGTGATGTGTGACACGGAGCCTTTCTGTTGTGATCACAAAATACAGTGAATGCTGCTGCCAAGTGCCATCCAACAGAAAGGCAGGGATCTTCAATATATCAAGCGGCTTCACAAACCTTAGTAACAGTGTGTAACAAGTTTCAACTTGTTTGGTGTAGTTGGGTGTGAGCTACAGTTGAGAGAAGGTATGTTTTAGAGTGTGCCGTAAATCATCCTGCATCATGACAACGCTCCATGTCACACACATCGCTTCTGGTACGGCAATTTCTGTCAAATAAAAACATTACGGTGTGTCCTCATCCACCTTATTCACCAGACCTGGCACCATGCGACTCTGGCTCTTCCCCAAAGTAAAAATGATTCAGGACATTGAGGCAGCCACAACAGCTCAACTACAGACTTACGAAAGAGGACTTCCAGAACTGCTTTAGAAAGTGGCAAGAAAAACGGGACAAGCGTTTTCGAAACAAGGGGAGTATTTTGAGGGGGATTAATGTCAATGTGTCTTTTACTGTAATAAGTATTTTAAAATTTAAGCATTCACCATATTATTTGATCACACCTTATATTATGGATAATAGTCCTTTATCAGATGTGCAAATATTTTCTCCTAGTCTGTGGTTTGTATTTTCATTCTTTGAACACTGCTATTTAAAAAACATTTTATTGTTCAAGGACAGGATGGGGTAAAGGTAGATGGTTTGTTTATTCAGTAACTAATCTTGAGAACCTACCTGCTATGTGTCAAGCCCTGGATTAGGCACTGGAGTCACAAAATAAGACTCAGTCCCTGACCTGAAGTTGATCCAGCTGAAAGGGGCAGACGGACAGATGAACAGACAAGCACGGTGTAGCCCTCCCTGGTGGTACTACAGGCACACAGAGGAGGGGCAGATTATGTGGGAAAAAAGTTTTGAGATTGTTCTATTGTTAGTGAGTTTAATGTGAGCCTTGTTAGGATGAGGCTTTTAACAAATTGAATCCAGTTCATAACTGGGTCAGAAATTCATTGATCAAATCACAGGATATCATGTTAATGACCTCTGCTGGTCATGTGACATTTGGATCACTGCGGGGGCCATGATTTAAAAGAAACATGAACAAGCAAGGACTACCTCCAGGAAGGAGACTAGGATGTAGGAATAGGAATGACTGGAATGCATTGATGAGGTGGGTACACGGTGGTGCTTTCAACTATTTTCAGTTATCAAGCATAGGAAAGAGTGGACTTGTTCATTTTTGCTCCTGGTGTTGGAATCTGACCAGTGGATGGAACAATTGCTCTATCCTCTCTAGCTTCAGATTCCTCATCTGTAGGATGATTACACTGAAGCTGATGACTTTTAAGGTTCTTTTTAACCCTAAAGACTGGGAGAGCAGATTTAGTTCAATATGAAAAAGGATTTTCTAGCTGGCAGAGCTGTTCAGCGGAAATGTTCGCTCATGAATAGTGAGCTTCCTATTGCTGGAGGTATTCAAGTTGGGCTGAATGCCGTTGATTAGGGATACTGTAGAAGAGAAGGACAGGAATTAGGCTGACCTCCAAAGTCCTTTCCAAATCTTAAGGTCAGGTTATTACATGATTTGTCAAAGTGGAAAGGTAATGTCGAATAGGGGACATACCTCTATCTAGTTGCATAGTATTTGAGTCAACATCATCATGTAAACTCTTTAAAACGTGTTTATAAATGTGTCCCAACATCTTTGAGGGACCCTTCTGGGGTCATTTTAGAAGGGATGGAGAGAACTATTCCAAGGTGGGTCAGGAATCAATTTGAGGCCCCAGGGCTGCTGAAAATTGAATTTGGCCTTTAGGAAAAGTGAAAAGTTGGGGGTTAGGTAGAAATGTCAAATAACAGTAAATAGAATAGATTGACATATAGAAGATTAATGTATGTATTGGCCAGTTCTAGTCAGTGTAATGAATGAATCAAGATGGGGCCCTTTAATTGGATGCTGGGTCCTCTGCTTAGCTGTGGAGGACCTGGGAGTGCCTTTGACCTTCTCCTTCCTACTTCATTGTCCACACTGCAGATTTGTATCACCACGTACAGCACGTGTATACATGGTACACATACACGCCATCCTGACACCAGGGATGAGACGGAGCCTTCCGATTGCTCTGGAGGTTTAGCGATGAAGGGAACAAATACATTTAAAGAAACTTATGAGTGGGATTTTCCAGGGATACATATATTCACTTTATACCGGACAATACGTTTGTGGTTTGAGTTTGAAATTTTTTCTTTTTGTGTTTTTATTATTTTTAGCTTACATGTAGAAAATTAGATTGAGTGTAATTTTGCCTAAAGTTTACTTAAATATATGGTGTATTTAAACTCCACCCTGATTAGTTAAAAGTTTTAGATTTTCTTCCTGATATTTTTGGATGGACTTTTTTGCTATGGGGACCACTGCAAGGGCTAAATCACATAGCAAATGTTTCTTAGAGAGCTCTACAAAGAGAATAGAGGTTTATCTCACCTTCGGAGAATATCGTAAGATGATTTCTATCTCTGTGATTCATGCTCACTTTTTGGCATGTGGAAAATCAGGATTTGGCAAGAAAGTGCTTCCTCTTCACATAGAGTAAAGTTGTTTGGGGGTGCACGACCTAGGGAATGACGGTTTTAGAAGTATGTAAAAAATACAGGCAGAACTTGGTTATTTAGAACTAGAGTTGGAAATTTTGTGCACCAGTGAGAAAGGGCCCAGTTTTCTTTCTATGCAGTAAACTTGGGACCCAACACAGTGTATGGCAGATCAGCTCCGCTTGTTGAATTGCCATGAGCCGGTTCCCTGGGCCATGTAGAGCGGGGTATGGGAAACACTTAGACTTCCCTGTGCTATTTATTTATTTATTTATTTATTTATTTATTTATTAAAAGCAAACTATAATAAGAAATACCACTTCTCAGCCTTTTTTGTCCTTTGAATACTGGGAAGTCATAAAACACTTTTAGTAAAAACAGCCACATTCAGCGGCTGTTTTTCAAAGTGCAGGGGGAATGAAACACTCCCTCTCTCTCCTCTTTCTCTTTTTCTGTGGCTGCTGACAATGAATTGCTCTTGGTGTGCCGTTCTTAAATTCATGTGTCCTCTATCCATTTTAATCTTGTTA